CAAGGCCCATCTCCTCGACGTCATTCCGAGCAATGGCGTCGCGAATTCTCGCAACGGAAACCACGTGACAAGCAATCGAAGTGTGAGGGGTCGCGACCGTACATGGGACTAACACTCAGTTCCGATCACGGATGTGAGCGGTTCGATCATGAAAGTTCACCGGATGATCGGCGCTACGCAACCAAGACATGCCTAGAATCATGTCGAACTTGGTGTCGAGGATGTCAAAAGACATCGGCTCGCACGCAAGTGGCGCAAAGTATGAATGCCGTCGACGCATCGGTCAATTGACTTTTGCGTGCGGCCGTCCGCGAGTGTGACTTGCGTGGGTTGCGTCTTCCTTCGAACGCGCGGGCCAAGGCCTGCGCGGGCCATAAAGGCTTGGCTCATAAGTTGCGAGACGCTTCGCAATCAATCAAGGCACTACATGTTGCCTTTCCGATTTGAATGCGGATATAGAGCAAAGGCGCGTTGATTTCAGCGTACCTTTGGGTGGCGTATTCGCGGTCAATCTTCGCAAGATAGGAGCGGAGATCGACAACCGCTACTCCGTCGTCCGTCAACGGAGCTGGTACTGTAGTGTGCAAATAGGAGCGTAGATTTGCCATCAAGGCGTTGCAATGCGGCCTTGGCAAGGTTCCGGTCGAGGGTAGAGGCATCCAAGCGAAGTCCTCTCTCGTGAGCGGGTCAAGCTYCTCAAGTCTTGACCACGCCGTCGAGTCCTCAGAAGTCAGTGGCGAGCTGACCGGATCTCTTGCCGACGGTGTACAGGCTGCGCATACGCTAGCTAAATGCACGTGGCTCGGCTGGTCTAATGGTGGTACCAGCTGGGCGGCATAATCCTCGTACGTAGCACGAGAATCAGCGACTAACGCATGCTCCCCGGTAGTGACGTCGATTGCTAGCAAGGCAACCGGTTCCGGCGGAGTGAGGAGAGATGTCGCCCCTCTCCTTGCGGTACTCAGTTTCCTGAGTTTGCTGGACGGGGTACGCGTGTCTTGCCCTTTTCGGGGCATTGTGCAGTCAAATGCATGACGCCGTTGCACCAAAGGCAGTATCTGTACTTTTGACGAAGGTCATAGACATCCCTGGTTATCTTGTAAGCCGTCCATGGCTGCTGCCCAGTTCCTGTCGATGCCGTCTCTTGTGTCGCCTTGTTCTTCCGAACTCTCTTGGGACGCTTCGGCGGGAGCGCTGCTACAATTCCTCCATCACTCGATGCTGCTGCTGCAGCGTGGAGATCGTCTGTTTCTTCAGAAATCACGACATTGTTATGTGCCGGACGTTGATAGCCCTGCTTAGCCACATAATGCGGCTGGGATTGTTTCTCGTTAGCGGCCTTGTCGTCCGTTTGGATGACCAGGTTTGCGCGATCCAGGATAGCCTGGAACAAGGTATAGTCGTACTCGTTACCGAGTGCCGACCGCAATCCTGCGCACGATCGCGAGAAGAACTCGGATCGTTGATTAGGAAAACTCAAATCGAAGCCTGGCGTGGTCACTATCTTCTGCCACTTGGTTGTCCAGTCTCGAGTTGGCATACTCCCTTGAGAGCAGGTGTACACCTCGTTCATGGCCGCCTTCACGACGTTGAGGACCATGAACCGGGTGAACCATAGCTTCTCGAACTCTTTCCACGTGAGGTGCGTGTGGAGTTCGGCGATGGTGCATTTTTGGGTAGTCGCCAGATGGTTCATCCATGCCTGCGCTCCTCCAATCAGTTGTAAGTATAGCGCCTTCATCATGTCGTCGGCCGGGACAGTGCGGCATGATGCTTCCGTGAGGAAACGTTGCCACCATGCCAAAGCGTCCGTCTTGTTGTGGTCGTCGAACTTGCTGATGTCGAAGTGTGGCATCTTGTAATTCTTCGTGGCGGCGTCCGGTTTCGTCAGCAGCTTGGTGATGTCCGTCTTGATGGCGGCCACCGTGCTACTGATCGTGTCCGGCCCATTGAAAACACCTATGTCGCCGCTGAGATTGACGACATGATCGATGCGCCCATTGAGCTGCTTCGTCATGTCTGTCATATCTGTCGTGCAGCCTGGCGCTGCTTGGGGAGGCCTTGCCTCCAAGGTAGCAATGTGTGCATCTAGCTGTTTCAGCTGGTTGTCTGTGACCTTGACAGCTGCTGCAAGTATCTTCACGATGTGGCTCAGATCGTGCTGCAGCTGCAGTGTGGACTGGAAATGCAGCTCCCCCATGGTGCTGTTCCAAATGATGGCGCGCATTGTATGGAGTAGAATATCTGCCAGGTCTTGCCTCTCCTGCTGTACTGTTGTCGGCTCGCTGCCGGGTACCGGGACATAACGCATCCCGTTGAGCACCGCTGTCCATTGTGCTTGGTTAGCACTTACAAGTTCAGCGCTGCCGGCGTTGAGCTGATCGATCGCCAACCGGTCTGCCTCGGCTTGACGCCGGGTTTGTGCTGCAGCTTCCTCTGCTAGCCGTAGTCTTTCGGCTGCGGCAGCCTCTTGCTGTTCCTTGACCTGGGTGAGTGCGGCTGTATAGTCCTGCATTCTCTGAATGAAGTCCGGGAGGGGCTCATTCGACCCTTGCACTGGACAGACTGGTAAAGGTTTGGCATTACTAGCTGTCGAACCCTCGGATGATGGTCCGCTGTGTGGCGTGTTCGCCATCTGAGTACTGGTCTGTGGCGGTTGTTGAGCTGGAGGTTGCTGTTGCTGTTGCTGTTGGCGATCGGCGATCCGCTTGCTGCGTCGTGGCTGCTGTTCGGAGGCTGGCCCTGCTGGCATCAGGAACTGTTGCTGAAGGCTGGCTTGTCCGAAGGATCGCAAAACAGTGAGAGGGAGAGGGCGGGCACAGGGATGGAACAGATCAAGCAATAAACATACAGTCACTGTCCCAAGGATGGACTAAGACACCTAATCAAACAGAAAAAATAAATTTTCCCGTAAACAATTTGAAAATTCGTAATAAGAAGAATAATAACGAATTATTTAATCAATAATTAATTGCGAGGCTATGCCCGCTTAGCCCTACGGGCCTTATTTGCAACAAGGTCGGCCGCCCTAAGTGAAGGCAGGCACGACAGGCCCTCAGGGCCTAGTTTTCAGGGTACCCCCGCAAATGGGGAAATTCAGGCAKTTGCACAGCATCAGTTGGTTGAATGAACTCAGGCCCTGGGCCGCCCGTGTGAATGAATGTAAAGCAGGCCCTGGGCTGGGTACGGGTACCGGGCCAAGCACAGGCCGAAAGCAGTTGGGCACAT